GGACCACAAACAGATATGTGAAGCAAGTGTCTTTTGGGGGGCTGGGGTATGTGCACTACTTCTTTTACCTCAGCGTGGGGCTCACAGACCGGGGAGTGGCCACAGTTTATGTGCTGACATATTCATTGATCAACTGACCATTTATCAAGCACTTTATAGGCCAGACAAGAAGCTGAGGATGAAAAGAATAAAACCGTGGCTGCCTTCAGAGAGCATCTACCTAAAGGGAGAGTCAGACCAAAAGAAAAAGGCTCCATTTTACAGTAGGTCACAGTGATCTGTGATGTGTGGCTGTCCCATGCTTGGCAACACCAGGAAGGGTTTTCTGACTTGGGGCAGAAGGAGAGGAGGAGAAGCTTATTGGAGTAGATAACCCCTGACCTGAATCCTGAAGGTCACACAAGAGTCTGGGTAGAGGGATGAAGCAGGAGATGAGAGATTTAAGGAAGGTCCAGGCAGCATGAGCTGGGCCTTCTTTGGCCCTGAAATCCTCCTGTATGTCTGGAGAATACAGAATAACTCCAGGGTGGGAGGCAGAGAGTTGAGCAGGGACCAGATTCTGCAGGGCTCCTTCATCATGTCATGGAGTTGAGCTACCAGGAAGCCATGCATCTGCAATGGAGGACCCACGTCCCAAACTCAAGGTGCTCTGCAGTTGAGTTAGAGATAGGAGGCACCATTTAGCTGGAACAGGGCATGGAAATGGCCATCCTGTCCATCAAGGCTATGCACAAATACAGAGGGACCTCAGATTAGATAGTGAGATAATTTTAGTGTTTTCCAGAGGGGGTGTTTTGAGAACGTTACTCATTTGAAAGAGAGGATCTGGAAAATGGGTTAAGGAATGGCTCAGGAAAAAGGGCATAGCAGCCATAAGAAGGTTCTTTGCTGAAAACAATGTATATGGTAATATCCTTGATTTGGTGACCACACATTGCATACATGCTTTGAAAAACCATATTGTACACCATAAAGGTAGGCAACAATTAAATGTAAATAAGAAATTAGAGAATAAAAAGAAACACTATCTGCAGTGTCTTCCTCTTAGACATTCCTAGGACACACGAGCATGTTAAATCTTTGAGAACTCTTGCAGTTAAGCAACCAATTCACCATTGCAGCGTGGCTCAAACTTATTTTACCTTGAAACTTCTTTCCCTCTTATTATACCTGTTTAAGTCTCATGGAACTCTTTGGAAAAGCTGGACAGGCTTGTTCCCCAGGCCTTTGGCCAGAGTCTGTTAAACAGAGAGCATCCTAGGTTACGAGACTGAGGGTCTTGCCCCATCATCCTGCTGTAGGGACCTGCAGACAGAGCTGCTGTGGCTGGTGCTGACAGCACAGACCTCATTGCTGTGAGTCGTGCGGCTCACCCTGTTCACTTCGATCTAAAATACTCTGCAAAATGCACAGTCATGGCTGCCTCTCAGACTCCATGACTACCTTCTTCCAAACAGCAGTTGAAGTTAGAAGCAGAGCCCTTGATCCCATCAGCAAAGCTGTCAGCCACGTCAGCTCTGAAAGTACTCCTTGCGCCTTGTCTCCTAGAGATGGCTGGTTTTAATCTCTGATTCTGAAAGGAAGCTCAGGAAGGAAGGAAGCCTTCCCCTGGGTGACACCGTGACATTCAGAGGCTGCCTCTGGCACACAGCAAACCCTACTATGGAAGAAGCCAAGAGACTTCATGAAAGTTGGCACAGACCTAGAGCCCCACAACTCCTCCTGGGGAGACCTCCAGCCTGTGAGGGTCTGAATGACCTTGCTGGCAAAGCGGCCACACCTGAATCTGCTACTGGGTCAGCAGTAGCATCGAGGATTCTGATTGAGGTGCATCTAGATGAAAAGTGTGTCATAGTCAGACTCTCCAGGAGGATCTCCCACTTCCCCTTACAAATACCTTCTACCGTACATATCAAGACTGTAAAAACCTACTGGTATACCCTGCTCTATCTCTCAGGATAAGCTGTGTGTTTCTCCTCAATATCCGAAGAACTTCCCTTTTTTAAATCTTAGACTATCTCATTTCAAGTCTCAAGGGCTATCCCAGACCTCTGATGTATAGAGAGTTGGTAAAAAGACTGTTGTGTGTGTTCTGAGTCAAACTCTTTCTTTTATAACATTGATCATGACCTCTGCTATTTCATCTTCCAGGTGAAAGACATTCTCTTAGTGATTCATATTTATTTGTTATTCACTCATTCCAAAAATATTTACTGAGGGTCTCCAAGGTACCAGGCACTTCTAAGGGCTGGAAATAGTGAACAAAACGGATCTCTCTGCTTTATTAGAGCAGATAAGAGCAGATAATCTGTATGTTTTTTAAAAGTAAAAGGTACAGTGTGACATGCAAAATACTGCCTAGTACCTCAGGGAGCTTTCAGAGGCGATAAGACATGGATATAAACAACTGGTATCTTGTTCAGAAATTGTTACTGAGGAGGAATAGAAACCCATTCAAACTAGCTCAGGTTAAAAACAGGAAAGTGTCAGGAATCCGAAATCCTATAGAAATCAAGGGCAGGAACCAGAACAATTAGCTCTAAAAGCATATCTCTTTGGGTATATTCTCACCCATATCCTTTCTTCCTGTTTTCCTCATTTCTTCCTTCCTTCCCACCTTCTTTCCTTGTTCCCTTTGTCCCTCCTCCCCTGACTGAGTAGGAGGGTGAGTGAGTAGGAAATCCTTGGCATCTCTTCCACATATGGATACAAGACAGAGACTAATTAGGGCATAAGAGCAACAGGAAGAGCAACAGTTAGAGGATAACTGAGAGCTCACGGGATCAGGGGAGACTTTCTGGAGGAGGTGCTGTTTGAGATAAGCCTTGGTGTTGGGAGGACTTCAATGCCTGTTGGAGAACAGGGGCCTTCCCCAGAACAGAGAACAGCGTGCGCAGAGGCCGAGAGGTGGAAGCCTGCCAGTCTTCTGACTCAGAGCACTGGGGAATGTGCGCAAAGGGTCCCGACTGCGCTATTTATCGTCATTGCTTTGTCCCTGTGATGCCTTTAGTTGGGCTTCTCTTCAGAGCTGACAGGATTCTCACGAGTCCCGTGGTTTGGATCTGCAGGCAGGATGACAGGAAGAGATGGGGTCTGGCTGAACAAGGGGAGAGGCAGGGTGATAAAGTCACGGCTGAAAGGTCAGGGATTGGGGGAGGGGTGGAACTGGAGAAAGGCTGCCCAGGGGAGGTAAGAAAGCCATGTGTGGGGAACACAGTGATTTGATTTGAAGATTTAAACAAGTGACAAGAGGGCTGGGAGCTCCATACCACCTATCTGTCAGTGGCAGGATCTTTGACCAAGAAGTCAGATCCTAGGTATGAGCTTTCCATCTGCCAAGCGATTTACAATTTGCTGCCTGGTCACTAGCAGAAAGCAATAAAATACTTACTGGGTTTCTCTGTGCTGGGCACCATTTTATTGATCATAGCTGGGAACCTCCAGAGTGGTGCTGTCAGAGCATGGTAGGCAAGGGGCCTTCATGCAGGAGGAAGGGTGTGTCATGTATCGGCTACATCTAGGCTGGGGACGATAGGATTGATTTAAGCACAGCAGGCCACACTGTGCTGGCTTTCCATCAAGTCTGAAGAGTACAGGTGTTCCCTTTTCAAGGAAAGCTGAGACTGGGAAATTAAGTTACCTGGCTGAGGTTACACAGTTCTGTATGATCCCAAGACCTGGGCACTGTGGCAAGTCCTCAGGCAGGTCTGGGTTGGTGTCAGGCTGCCTGACACATAAAACCAGGTTTTACAGACAGGGATGATGGAAAAGCCGCTGCTCTTCCTCACTGTGGGCCTCTCCTGCACTTCTCAACAATCTCAGTCCCGCTGTCCTCACACCAGCAATTTATGTGGACAGATAATCTACTGCAAGTTCCTTCCCTGGGCCAAAACATGTCCCAAAGTCTAACTGCCACGTGCAATAGAAGTTAGAAGTTACAGGGCTTTCCTGTAACCAGATGCTGGCCAGGGGAAAGCTCTATAATTGTGGCTGATGCTCCACTGGGAGCTGGATTCGTGAGTCTGTTGCTGGCTGGCCGGCTACGCTGTGCATGCAGTATTGCCCTTGTCCCTATTACCTGTTGGCTGTCTAATGGATCTGGTGTTAAATGGCTTGGGTACAAGTCCTTTAAGGCCTCTGACCTGTCATGTGATATTCAGCGACCCCGAGCCTTGGTTTTCCTCTTCTCTAAAATGGAGTAAGAGTATTTATCCTACAGATCTTACAGTGCTCTTCTAAGGAATACAGGAGATAACATGAACGTGCCTTAGGCACTGCGGAGCGCTGCCAGGGTCTCACTGTTAGACAAGCACATCGTCAAGGTCACGGGCCTTTGTTCTCCTGTAAGCTCCCCGAAGACAAGAAGGGCTTTCCTGCACTAGCTTTTATGCGTCTCCATCAATCATGCTCACTCAGGGCCCAGATCTATGGATGGCCATGGCAGCCGTGACTAGAGCCCTGCTTAAGGACTCAGCTGAACCTTTCCTTTTTAACCTGAAAGTGGTTTAGACCAGGGATGTTTCAAGTGTCCTGCACCCCAATCACTAGGCAGCGTTTTATTGTACAGATTCAAGGGCTTCCCCTCTGGAGATTCTAATGGAGTATGTCTGTGGTCGGGTCAAGAGAACGAGTTTTGAAAAGTTCTCCTGGTGATTCTGAATTTCAGGCAAGGCCAGGTGAAGGGGCACAGGCTGCAAGGTTGGGACAGCCTCCTGAATGGACGCGTTCTGCAGTCTCCAGCCTTCCTGTGTGTGAGGATGGAAAGAATGGGGTTAGTTCCTCTTGAAGAGGACAGCAGCAAGGGCAACTCCTGCTGCTGGAAAGCTGGAAACCTGTGTCAAGGAAAGAGGTGCCAGTCCTGAGAATAGCCCCAGGAGGCTTGTGGGGCTGTGAACACACTGTGGGCTGGGAGGAGACAGCTGTGCTAGGCAGAGGGGCTAAGCGTGCCTGCTGGGGCCACCATCTAGCTAATACCGTGTGTCTTTCTGTGTTTTCTCCAGATTGTGTTCCGGAAGATCAGTGATGTGAAACGGGAAGAGGAAGAGC